ACTAAAATCCATCCTGATTTTCAAAACATCTGTTTGGAACCACTTTGATACTTGGAATTCTACCGTAGGATACGTTACGAGCGGAATACCACCTGTTGGAACCAAACGACTGATTCGGAGGTGGCTAATTATAAATAGAGAATTCAGGTTTCTCTTGGGCAAACAAATGAAAAACTCATAAGAAGAGTATTCATTAACATCTACACATGTCGTCAGCTGCAATAATGGTCAGACACACACAGATAGATACGCGCTAACGCATCCCTTCACTGCATTGCATTTTTACAGAGGAGAAGCGGGGCATCACTAACTGCCAGTTGTGGCTCCGCTATAGATCTCCTACCGCCAAAAATTCTCCTTCCTTGCTTGCTTCTCTATGAGAAGAACAGCAGAGCGGCGAACAGGGACATGAGGCCAGTAGCAGCTCGGGAAGGTGATGAAATAAAACCTGGTATCCTCAAAAGGGGGGTTGAAGGAGGGAGGAGAGATGGGGGGAAAGGGGAACGCGGCAAAAAGGAGGGAGGGAGCGGAGAGGGGATGGGGGAAATAGATAAGCGTGAGTAGGTCTTTTCTTGGTCGTTACATCGTCTATTGTAGAATATAATAGCGTTATCTTCTTTTTCCCGTTCTGTGTAGCAACCTTCTAGACGCACGGTGCGTACCAGCAGCCTTGGGTGGTGCCGGTGGTGACAACCCCTGGGGATTCACGGAAACAGTTCCGTCGGGGTTCACACTCACGCCTGGAGTCTGCAAGCCGCTGGTTCCAATAGTCACCCCACCGGGGATCGTAACCCCGGTACCGGGGTTAACAATCGTTCCGTCAGAGTTCGTAATGGTTCCGTTCGGGTAGACGGTGATGCCGCCGGCTGTCGTTGATCCGTCAGGGTTCACAGTCGGCGTTATTGGCTGTCCGTCACTTCCCAGTATTGTGCCGTTCGACAAAATTGTCGTTCCGCCAACTGCCACGCTGCCAGGATTTGTGGTAGAAACTCCGTCCGAGCCAATGCCTATTCCTGGGATTGAAATCTGAGCATCCGCGGGTCTAATCGTCGGCAAGAAACGCCGATACTGCTATGAGCAACAACACCGTGAGGAAGACGGTTCGAGAAGCCATTTGGGGCTGTAAACGGGTTCCACTAGTACGAGCAGCTTTCGAGTTGCACAAAGAATGAACAAAGAACTGCATTGAATAAAATCAAGGGTTTTTAGTTTCTCAGGAAGGATTACTGTAGCTGTTCATCTTTCAAGGGACTTTAATCTCAGCTTGCGCACACTTTCCGCTGATCCGCTTCTGAGGCGGAAGAGTTATAGGAAAGTACATCGCAGCTCCACAGTTTCAAAAATATCTCAATTTTGATCCCGAGTTTACCCAAAAAGTCCAGCTTTGCGGAATTCTGCTCACGCGAGGCCCAAAGTATGTTCAAAACTGGTCCTGCGGGGCAGAAATTACGACACGTGTCGATTTCGTGCAAGGTTTTTTATACAGGGCAAACCAAACATAATACCCCTGGGGAAACGGGACACAATTTGGGTAATATATTGCACTGCCTGCGTAAGCAGGCAGTGCAATCGAGTCAGCAAGCTGACCGCGGACAAAAAAAAAACTAAAACCCTCTCGGATGGGATGCCATCCGAGGGAGCCTCAACCCTAAAATTTTAGGGTTCATGCTGCCGAATGGCATGCCGTAAGCCAAGGGGTTTAATTTTTGCCCGCAGGATACATTTCGGGAGGGATCAACCCTAAACACCGGGCGGGTTCCCGTGTTTAGGGTTGATCCCTCCCGAACAAGTGTCCTGGTTTCCCCAGGGGTATTATTGTTTTTGTGCCCCGTCAAAAATTGTTGGTGTGAAATAGACACGTGTCAATATTTGAGCCCTACAGGACCAGTTTTGAACATAATTTGGGCCTCGCGTGAGCCAAATCCCAGAAAGTGGGACCTTTCGAGTAAACCTGGGGGTAAATATGAGAGAAATCTGAAAGTAAGGATCTAGGATATAGTTTCCCAAGAGTTATTGTGCTAACACAGAACTCGGCTTCTCCGCACGTCACGCAAGCACTGTTTTCATCGGGTGTCTTCTGCCAGCAAGCACAATACTAAAGCCCTCTCGGGTGGCAAGTTTTCAAGGGCATCAACCCTAAACTCCACGCGATTAGGTGTTTAGGATTGATGCCCCTTAATTACATGCCAACCAAGAGGGATTTAGTTTTGGCATCAACCCTAAACACTTAGTCGCAGTGTTTAGGGTTGATGCTCTCTATCACTTGCCAGCCGAGAGGGATTTAGTTTAGTGCGGATAGAGAGAAAAAAATGTTGTGCACCGTTTGCCTGACTAAGGGCTTACGAGATGATGACACGTGGGTGAATGTGGGGACGAGTTCTGTCTCAGCGCAATATCGTAAGTCTTCTGCCTGAGCCTCGAAACCTGGGAAACTGTGTGCAGGTAGAGATGAAGCTCCCTAGAAAGCGCAGGGTCGGAAGTACCCCTTCCGAAATAACTAAAAACCCTAAAATCAAACAAGGCTCAACCTCAACTCCACATCCTCTCCGCACGGAAGTTGAAATGGGAAGCAAAGGCTGGGAACGAGAGAGGCACTACTGTACTCTCAGGTGCGTGACTAATCACGGCGAAAATGACGGTTGGTGGTGGGATGGGAAGGGTAGCGTGGCGCGGTGGTAGTGCAGTCAGCTCGGCTTGTCCAGAACGTTCCGGGATTGTTTCAAAACGCTTGTTGTACTCTAAAAACAAGAACGCGTTGTTATCTAATTTAGAAACGATCTACACTAGCGAGCGCTATGTGTATACAACAAAGAAACAGGCTCAGTAGCCTCCATAAAGATAACAGAACCTACAACAGCAAACACTGAGTTACCTTAGAAATGGGGTTTCCACACTGCATGCACACTGTTGTTCATGTGTGCTGAGCCATTGTGTTGTAGACTTCTGGTTTACCTCCCATTCTGTCTTTGCTTTACGCAAAGAGCACAGCGGCAAGCAGGGAGATAACCCCAGTCACTACGCGGGCAGGTGTTGCAATGAAGCCTGTCAAAAGAAAACGAAAACGATAATATAAAAAAGGTGGTCCGTTCTCGGCAACTCCTATTCCTCCTCCTTGCCCGTTCCACCCATTTCAAACGAGCATCAAGTGAAAGGAAGGGTACTGAGCATCAGCTTTAAACTTTCAAAAAAAAAAAAAAAAACTTCTTACCAGCAGGCTTGGGTGGAGGAGGAGCTGGAGGTGGCGAGATGGGAGTTGGCGTGATAGTACCGTCAGGGTTCATGGTAAAGCCTGGGAGCTGGATATTTCCACCGGAGGTGTTAAACCCAGGGATCGACGGCAGCCCGCCAGGAACAGGTTTCCCGTCAGAGCCGATGATCGTCCCATTGGGATAAATTGTGTTCCCGTCGAGCGATGTTGATCCGTCAGGATTTTTGGTTGGAACGGGTGGGTTGACAACTTGGCCGTCGCTCGTGACATACGTGCCGTTAGGATATATCTTGGTGGTACCAACGGTCACGCTCCCGTCAGGGTTGGTAGTGCCATTCGGGCCAAAAGTACCACCTGGAGTTTCTATCGTGCCGTTGGTGATGTTGACAACGCCGGGAATCGAAATCTGTGCGTTCGCTGGCTGAATAGATGGTGTGTAAGCCACCACGAGGAGTGCCAGCGCCGCAAGAAAGAGCACACGGGGAGCCATGAGAGCCGTTAGTCGGGTCAAGAAGTTAGTAGGGTTATAAGAACAACAGCAGACCTATTTCAGCAGTGCGTTCTTCGCTGGTTCGGAAATTGAACGTCGGGGTGAAAATTTTTGGCTGGGCGTCGAAGTTCCAAAGCCGAAGCTCCGGCGTCCGAAGCTCCGTTGCCGAAGCTCAAGTGTCGAAGCTCCGACAAACTGTACTGTATCTTGAAGCCCCGCGGGGCACCGTCTTGCACCAAGGTTAGAAAGATCATACTGGGGCCGAACATTAGCAGGGAAGCGTCCAAATTAGGTCCGGATAGCCGAACCTGAAATTTTGGAGTCAACAACCGACTTTCCCATACTAGCGTATGTGATTTCACTTGTCATAGATTCTCACCGCCCCGCGCGTCGTAACTGACGGAGAGTAAACTTTTCGTTTTTTTGTCGAAACAACTGTGTATTTTCCACTCGTTTGCGCTACCAAGCACTAGACGACGCAACCGGGAACTGTCAGGGCAGACCAGAAAAACTAAAACCCCTAGGGAACCTGGATGCATTTTCGGGAGGGATCAACCCTAAACACGGGAACCTCCCTGGAGTTTAGGGTTGATGCCTCCCCGAGTCGCATCCATTTCCGATTGGATTTTATTTTTTCTGTCAGAAAAAGTGATGTGATTTTTCCAAGAATCAATCATGTACTTCTGTTCTAAAAAAATATATACACTACGAAACCACCCCCAGAGGAATTCGACGCGAGCTTCGTAATAGGCGGCGATCTTAATCTAAAACAAATCACAGAACAAAAACAGTCGATATCTTTAAATTTCCTTTAGGTCTCGGTTCGGAACCTAGGCCCAGCCACCTGGGCAGCCTCAGGGGGTATATCCAACGGTCAGGATTTACCCGGCCCTAATTTGGTCACTTCTCTGCTGATGTTCGGCCCCAGTTTGATCTTTGCCCGTTAGAAAGCCTTTTGTGTGTTGACAGATTGCTTATATACACCCGAATGTCAGGTCTGGACTCCGTTCTGGAGGCAAAAGAGGCTGGGACTGGCTTGGTACAAGTTCGCCATATGAACGTTTCCGGAATTGGCTTGAAGGCTGCTTTGAAAAAAAAACCCGATATTGTCTACACTACTAAAACCCTGGGCGTAGTTACAAAAAGCTCCATATCCGGCAACCAGCACAATAGGGACCACATATATCAACTTCGGTACTAAGGAATGCATAACGCAGGCTGATATTCTCCTTAAGTCCTGCAGCTCAAGTCTGTTGAGTTATAATCGGTGTACATTGAAGGATATGTTTGGGTCTTGCTTGGTTATGCAAAGAATAGCACAGTGGCGAGCAGTGAGATGAACCCTGTCACTAGGTGGGCAGGTGTTGCAATGAAACCTGTCACAGGAGAAAAAGGGAAAAGATTAGCTAACGAGCATATCCAACTCCGACTCCCTCTCCCTCCCCCCATCCACCTCTCTCCCTGCTTTCCCCCTCTTTCCCCTTTCCGCGCTTCTAAAATAAAACATCAACAAGCAAAGAAAACAAAGTTTGGTACACTTCTGTAAAACAACAAATGCAAGCAACTTCTCACCAGCAGGCTTGGGCGGAGGAGGGGGAGGGGAACTTGGCGTGAGGCCTGGAATCTGGATTCCAGGAAACCCTGGGATCGGCAACCCGCCAGGATTAACAGGCTTCCCATCAGAGCCGATGACTGTCCCATTGGGAAAGATGTTCATGCCGCCGACCGTCACAGATCCGTCTGGGTTTCTGGATGGATTGACTGCTTGGCCGTCGCTGGTGACATACGTGCCGTTTGGATATATCTTGGTGGAACCAATGGTCACACTCCCGTCAGGGTTGACAGTGACGCCGCCAGAAGTGCCATTAAAGGAGGGGATGTCTGGGATCGACACATTCGGCATGCCTGGGACAGTCACATTTGGCATGCCTGGGATCGACACATTTGGCATGCCTGGGATCGACACATTTGGCATGCCTGGGACCGTCACATTCGGCATGCCTGGGATCTGTATCCCTCCACCGGAGTTGTTGAACCCAGGGATCGGCAACCCGCCAGTATTGACAACTTTCCCATCAGAGCCGACGATCGTCCCGTTGGGATAGAAGGTGGTACCGCCAACCGAATAAGATCCGTCAGGGTTTTTGGACGGAACTGGTGAGCTGACTACTTGGCCGTCGCCGGTAACATACGTGCCGTTCGGATAAAACGTGGTGGTACCAATGGTCACACCCCCGTCAGAGGTGGTAGTGATACCGCCAGCGCCGCCACCGCCGCCAATGCTCGTGCCATTCGGGCCAATAGTAGTACCGCCTGGAAGTGTTATCGTGCCGTTGCCAACGGTGACGTCGCCAATGCCAGGAATCGAAATCTGTGCGTTCGCTGGCTGAATAGCTGGTGTGAAAGCCACCGCGAGGAGTACCAGTGCCGCAAGGAGGAGAACACGAGGAGCCATGAGAGCTGTATGTCTTGAGGGTAATTTGGGTTATGAGAAATACTGAACTGGCGGAAATAATGGTCCTATTTCAGCAGAGCAGCTTGGGGCGTTCTTGGCTGCTCGGAAATTGGACGTCGGCTTGAATGTTCTGGAGTGGGCGGGGCGTCGAAGCTCCGGAGCTGGAGCTCCGGTGACGAAGCTCCTGGCCAGCCTCTCGAAGCTCCGTTACGAGGCCACAGCTACGCCTCGGGTACATGGAGAAATTTTGTGTGGTGACCGATATTTTATCTACACTCCAGTGAATATGCTACTAGCCTTCGAGCTGATTCAGGACGTGTTCTCACGTCCGTCGAGATCTTCTGACACGACAAGAACTGCAAAATTATATTCAGAAAACCCTCATCAATAACCATGTGTTCAAGAGGGTGACACTTCCGGAACAGGCATATGCCACATGGTTAGAAAGTGACAGATTCAGGAATGGGCCATGTATTTTAGGGTGTCTGGAACGCTTATAAGTTTTTTTTTGGCAACCATGTCTAGTTCTGATTTCGGCACCGAACCCCAATGGCGCGTGTTGCTGCAGTCACCAGACCAATCGAGGGAAACGACCTGGTGGTTGGGCATGATGCGAACGACGTCCATTGGCGGCAAGAATGAAAACGAAGATAATTGTCTAGGCGTGAATGTTTTGAGACAAGCCAGAGCAATAATTGTCTTACGCTTTGGAACAAACAGCTGATGATACGCGTTATGAGCTGTAAAGAAAACTCCACAACTAAGAAAACTCCAACCATATGGTGTATACCATAGAAATGTCAATGAATACTACTTTGACGGTTTCTTACACTCTTCACAACCCCCAAAACAAAAGCTTCTCTTTTAACTGCTGAGGCCCCTGCACATTTATCTGCACTAAATCGTCAAGCTCCTCTTGCCATTTCTCCGCATCCATCCAATTTCCATCGCAACGTCTTGCATTAACCAATTGTCACTCTCAATCGGTTGGAGATCCCACAACTTCTTTGCATTGGCATCTGCTTCTCATAGCAATCCTTGAAGACGCGAGGCGACTTATGAGTCGACTGAAGAATCACTGTCAATCAGTTGGAGACTCCACAAGAATCTCTGCAGTGGCATCTGCTGCTCGCAGCAACCCTTGCAGATACGGCAACACACCAACCGCGTCCCTCCACGCCCTCCCTCCAACTCCTGCTGCCCCTCCCCCTCCAGAACCACTCCCACAGACACCACCACCACTCCCGCCACTGCTCTTGAGTCTCCTCACATGCTCCTTCACCTGTGCTATCACCGCTTCCCTGTGCCCGTCACGGCACGAATACGAAACGACCTCCGAAGCTGGCTGGGTCATCAGAAGCAGATCCATCCCACCACTGTCAATCCCCACACTATCCCTCCCCCCCACCTCACTCCCACCTGCACCGCTAAGCTCACTCTTTGAAGCCTCCTCGTTTGCTAAGTCCCCTCCACCTCCTGTCAACTTGTTGCGGGCCTTATCACATCCCTCTGAACGAGCAACCCCAGTTTGCCTCCCATGCTGCTCTGTGCTCCCACAGTGCACCTTACCTGTCAGCACCGCTCCCAACCCAGCTCCAAACCCCATTCCCACGCCCACCCCATTCTTTACTCGAACCTGATGTGACAGCACCAGTGCCTGCCCCTTAATCTGAGAAAGCGGAACCTTCCGAGAAATTCCCTTGGCTGGGTCAACAGACACAGGTCCAGGGACACCCTTGTGACTCCCCTGGCTACTGCTGTGGAAGCTCCTGCCATTATCGGGGTAAAGAGCAGAATTCGCCCTCTCCCCATTCATCCCAGAGGTGGAGGTGATAAGATTCTCAATGGCCGACGCCAGATCCCCCTCATTGCCGAGTTCATCCGCAGCACCTGCCGCATCTGCCCCTGCTGCATCAACCCTTCTTCCATCTCCCCCGCCTGCATATTCCCCTGCTCCATCTCCCTCCCCTGCACCATCCCCTGCTGTGCCTTCGCTAGCACCGCCAACAGCAGTATTTGGACCAGGATGGTTGCCAGCATCCTCCATACCCTTCCCATGCCCATCACAATCCCCTCTGGCAGTGTCACAGTAAGACCTCCCACCTCCATTCGTATCAAGATCGCTCTCATCACCACCGTCAGGCCCAGCCCGCCCAAGGAGACCCTTCTTGGACCTGTCAGAGTCAGATGCAACCGTGGTCCTTCCACTGCCCGCAGCTTCCCCTCCTCTGCTCGCTGAATTTCCTATCACCGTTGCCTGCTTCAACAGGGGTTCCTCATTTCTCTGCTTCAACTCTCCACTTCGCTTCCTGCGCCCCCCTCTCCCGTTTCCATCCTCCTCACCAACCACAGCAGAAGCAGCCGCGGCAGCAGCAGAAGAAGCAGCAGCAGGGGAGACGTCAGCAGAAGTGTATACGCCAGGGGCGGACACACAGGCAGTACGAGCATTGGGATGGGCCGGGTCGACAACTCGACTCTTTTCCGCACCCACCACCACGCCATCTCCCACCATCCTCACAGCTGCTCCTTCTGCTGCAGAATCTCTTTTCTCCTCCATCTGCCTTGCTCTCTTCCTCATGTTCCCCTCATTCCCCTCATTCCCCTCTTGCTCCTCAATCTCCTGATTTTTCTGATTCCTCGCCTGCACATCTCCGTCAGTCCTGTCGCTTACCTTAACGCCATGATCCCCATTCCCCTCATGCACTGGCCCATCACCCCTGTCGCCGTTCCTGGTAACCCCATCACCCCCAGACAGCCACTCATTTCGCCCTGTTTTCGCCATCCACTCCATTTGATCCGGCTCCTTCCATCCCCTTCCTTCATCCGCCGATTTCGCAACTGCTTTCACAGCATCTCTTCGTTCTACCACCTCTCTTACCCTTGCTACACTTGAGACTCCCCCTATTGCCCCTGCAACGTTCTCTGGTGCCGGTATCCCTACAAAACCCCCTCCATGTGAGATTTGGCCAGTCCCCGCGCCATCCCCTTGCCCCAGAAACTCCAACTTCCCCCATACCTTCCCCTCAGCCTTCCGCTTCCCCGCAGCCTCTCCCTCCCCCGCAGCCTCCCCCCTCCCCGCAGCCTCTCCGCTCCCCGCGGCTTCTCCACCCCCTGCGGCCTCTCCCTTTGCCGAAGCGTCCCCTGTCCCCGCGCCCTCTCCCCTCCGCGCGGCTTGCGCGCCCCCCTGGGTGACGGGAAACCGGCCCCCTTCCAGCTGGCTGAGACTTGGCGGCGGAGGGTGAAACGGTCCAGTTGGCACGATCCCATTGGCTCGCACGCACGCGTGCAGCCACTCCTCGGTAACCACCGCCACGTTACCCCACCGCATCGCGCGCTCGTACTTTTCGCCGGACGCCGCTGAGCAAACGAGATGCGAGATCCGACGGTCCAGCTTCTCCGTGTGAATCGCGCCGAGCGCGATGCAGAGACAGCGGATGTTGGTGCGCCGCGTGCCGCCGTAAAGCGAGACGCAGAATCGGAGGGATTTTATTCCCGGAAGGGGGATCGTGCAGGGGAGGGGACGGAGAGCGAGATGGGATGAAGGGTCGATTAAACGATTCTCTTGATGCGACCTGTACACCCAGTGCGCCGAGACGACGCGATTTGACGAATGCGAAGGCGGCTGCGATTGGTCCGTGCTGCCGTGGGCTTTCACGATGATCGCCGACGCGTGGCGCGACGCGTCGCTGATGACCGTGCCGCCTCCCGCCATGATGACTCGATATAAGCAGTCTCGAGTAATGGACGAAAGAGTCGGGCTGAGGAAGAACACCTCGTTCTGGAAGATTGACGAGAACGCCATGTGACTCGGAACGGGAATTTCGGCCCGTCGCAGCGACGACGTGGTGACTTGGCTCATACTGGCGAGAGCGAATAACAATTATCAACAATGGCTTTTACGACGAACACGTATCCATGTTTAGGGTCAAGAAACGCTAGACGTACGTCTCTTATTCACGGAGCTCCAGCCATGAAATGATGGTTTGGAGTAGAGGCCTGGGTGTGACCTGCGTGCTAGTTGTCACCTAGATTGAACAACTCGTGAGTTGAACCGATGACTTGAAAACTAGCAGCCTAGATTCTGGAAGGAAGGAAAGGGGATGGAGCACGGGAAACCCGATGTAGGGAAAATCCACCTAGAGAGTATGGTGGCTAAAATCATGATGCAAATATATGCTGAAACAGTACGTTGCTCCTCAAAGTGTTACAATTCCCCTGTTCGCGACTAATCCAAAGGTGGTCCAGGGTAATGACGACTGTTTTGCGACGTTGATGTTGTCGGCTGAGTCGCCGAGTTACCTACTGCAGTCTGACAAGCCAATGGTTTGTGGTTGTTTTCCCGCGCCCGCGCCAAATCCCGAATCAAGTTTCCAGACCTGGGCCTGGTTCGACGCGTCGCTGGGGATTCGTTTGAAACGAACTCCGCTGTGGGTAACCAGATGTAACATCTGGTTCGGCATTCAAAATAATCTCAGCCATATCCAGGTGTGGAATGTTTTAGTTCGGTTGATAAAGGTTCGCGAAGTTATGATGGAGTGTTGTTCGTCTTTGCACACCTCCGATAATTTCGGGACAACATCAGCTGCAATCCAATTAGGCCAGCGCGGTTCGCAAATGCGATCCCTAACAGTCCGCCTGGAAGAAGCTGATGGTTCGTAATCTGCCCGCGGTCAGAGAAAAAATAAACCCCATCTGGATGGTAGGGGAGCCCCAAGCCTAAACACGGGGAGCCCCAAACCTAAACACGGGCAGCCGCGTGGTTCTGCCCGAAAAGATTACATTCGCAAACACGCACTGGGAAGATGGGATCGCAGTTCGAATTGTCCGGATAATTTCTGCTTTGTGCCTTGATTCTTGCTTCTTCATGTCATGGCTTCGGGTGATGATAGCTTCCATTTTTCGCGGGAACCAAAGTTATGGCAGCAGTGTGAATCATGGATAAAGCTCGTGAATACCAAATGAGAAGCCCCGGGTGTTACACGCGTTGTAATTAGGTCATATGAGGCCGACTCGACTCAGCTACTCAACCCAGAAGGACAGTGATGGGATGCAATTGATAGCACGTTACTTTATGCTTTGCAGGTTAGTCGTAGGAAATCGACATAGCGTCGCGTGCTCGTATATGATTCAGTCTTCGTGGCGAGGTATGCGCCGTACTGCGGAGATCGTCTCCAATCAACGGCAACGAGCATCTTAGTACAGCAGATCAGCTCTCAGCATCACACCGGGATCAGCATTTCACAGCACTGCACAGTAGCCCACAGTAACGCACAGAATCGCACAGCAGCCCATAGCACCGCACAGGACCGCACAGAAGTCACCATGGCCGCTCAGGACTCCGCGAGGCCGCACAAGAGCAGGCGAGTGCTGATTGTGGCGTGGGCGGTCATTTCCACGCTCCTCAACTTCATCCTCCTGCTTCAAACGCGCGACCCCGATACAAGCACTGGCAGTTCCGTCAACAGCGAATCGAGCCTGCAAGGTACTGATGCGCCGCAACGTGTGTCGCGCTGCAAGCTGTCCTGCTCTGCGTGGATTTGTGCATGAGGCGTTGCCGAATTTGATTCGCGCGGGCTTCCCAAACGAGGTACTCCGGATCAGCCGTCGCATGCTCGTCATCTCGTTCCCTCTCCCTCGGCTTCCTCACCTCCTCTCCTCTCTCTTTGCTGCCTCTTGAGTCGCTCTCTCTCTCTCTCTCTCTCTCTCTCTCTCTCTCTCTCTCTCTCTCTCTCTCTCTCTCTCTCTCTCTCTCTCTCTCTCTCTCTCTCCACTTTCTCCCCAAACCCTCCCTTTACCCCTCCTCCTCCCCCCTCCAATCTTCCCGACTCCCCGTCCCTCCAGCGTCCCCCCCGCTGCTCAACTCCCCCCTGTATCCGCGCGGCCCCGTCCAAGCTCCAGCAGAAGCCGCCTGCTGGCACCGCCAGCGGTACCCCGCGTCGCTCAGGGAGGCGGTGGAGGGACGCACGGACCCGTGGGCGCTCATGAAGGTATGAGAGAGGGGGGGGCTGTGATGAGGGTGAGAGGGCGGGTTTTGAGGGGGGACGGGTGAGTAATTGTGGGACCTTAGCGAAGGTGCTAGTACCTCCCTGCCTCGCTGCTCACTGAAGGAGACGGTGGAGGGGCGCACGGACCCGTGGGCGCTCATGAAGGTGAGGAAGAGTGCGGTGAGGGGGTGGTGATGGTGGTCAGGGGGCGGTGATGGTGGTCAGGGGGCGGTGATGGGGGTGACTGTGAGGGCATAAGTAAGGTGCTAATAAGCTGCGCATAGAGCAGCGCAGCTATTTTTTCCCCTCCTTCCTTCGCGCCTGTGCACCCCCCTGTGCACCCCCCTGTGCACCTTCCCAGGCCATACCACCCCCTCCCCATGCACGGTACCAGGCCTGCAGATAGAGCAGCTGGAGCCTCACGTCAACTTCATCTCTCCTTTTCCCCGATGCACCCCCCTGTTCCCATTTCAGGCCATACCACCCCCCTCGCCATGCACGGTAGCAGACCCACAAATAGAGCAGCTGGAGCCGCACCTCACCTTGTCCCTGCTTCTCTCTCCTCTGCCCTCCTGCATCTCTCTCCACCCCGCCAGGCCATCCCCCCCCCCTCCCCATGCACAGTAGCAGGCCTACAGATAGAGCAGCTGGAGCCGCATCTCAATTTCCGCCGGGGCTATGCACTGAAGCACACAGGGGACGCAGAGGACCGTCTGCATGTGCTGCCCTACTTCAGGGCTCTACAAGACCCTGCCATGGGGAGGAGGTGAGAACATGGAATGCACGGGCTTACAAGGGATATAAGGAGTGGTTGCGGCAATGCATTGAGGCACGCAGCGGACGTTCAGGCTCCTACTTCAGAACCTGCAGGATGCTGCAATGGGGAGACGGTGCGAGACAGGAATGCATGGTGTTACAGGGGGGAAGGGGTGGTTGCGGCTATGCTGTGAGGCACACGGGGGACCGCCTGGGTCTCTTGCCCTACTTGAGGGCCCGGCGCATGCAAAACCTAGCCATGGGGAGGCGGTGAGACCATGGATTGCGCGGGCTTGGAAGGGATATAAGGAGTGGTTGTGGCGATGCTGTGAATTACACAGGGGATGCAGAGGAGAGCCTGCATGTCCTTCCATACTTGAGAGCCCTGCAAGATGCTGCCATGGGGAGGCGGTGAGACAAGCAGGAGCAATGAATGTACAGGGACTTGTCCCTGTCAGAAGGCGAAGGGGTGTGCAGCCCACTTGGTCATAGACTCAAGCATACAGCGAATGTGGAAGATGGCAAGAGATGGTGAGAGACGGTGAGAGACGGTGAGAGACGGTGAGAGACGGTGAGAGGCGGTGAGAGACGGTGAGACACACGGCCATGTCACACATGGGCGTGCTGTGGCTGTATCGTGAATTCAGCTGGGCGTTCAACTCGAGCGTGCTGTGAAACCTTCTCCGTTCATCTCCTCCCATGCTTGCTTCCCTGGTGCCCCCCCATCTTCTTTCATTCCCTCTGCTCCCATCTTTGAGTGTTTCTGGACCTTGGCGGTAAGGAGTTCAATACCAGTGACTTTTGAGTCGACTCAAAAGTCGCTGTGGTTTTTGTGCATGCCAGCCATCCATTACCACCACTCTCGTATACCCACATTCTTTCAAACGCCGTAGGGTGTACCTGGACGTGGGAGGAAAGGAGTTCAACTCGAGTGGGCTGTGGATGCCAGGGCACTACTCCCTTCTGTTCTTACCTCCCACATCCTTCATTTTTTGTGTTGCGTAACAACCCTGTATATTTCCCTTATTCTACTCCCTCTCTTGCAGGCGCCGTCGAGTATACCTGGATCTAGGCGGGAAGGAGTTCAACTCGAGCGTGCTGTGGATGCTCAGGCACTACCCTCTCCTCTGCTGCGTCCCTCCCATCCCTTCCTTCTTCCTTCCTTTTCCCCATTACCCCACCGCATACATCACTCCCCTTCAACTCGAGCGTGCTATTGATGCTCAGGCACTACCTTCTGCAGCATACCCATTCCCCGTCTCTCCCATCCCCATCCCACTGCTTACTCTCTCTTTCCCATCAGGCGACGCATGGCATACTTGGATCTGGGGGGCAGGGATTTCAACTCGAGTGTGCTGTGGATGCTCAGGCACTACTCGTTTCTTTCTTTCATTCCTCCCTTTCCTTCCCACCCGTACCTCTCCCTTTTTCAGACGCCGTCGAGTATACCTAGACCTGGGCGGCAAGGAGTTCAACTCGAGCGTGCTGTGGATGCTGAGACACTACCCTCTGGATTTCACGGAGGTGCATGTGTTTGAGGTCAAAAAGGGGCTCTTTCTATTGCCAGGCAGACAAAAGCAGGACGATGAGGTGGGTGGAATGCGGTGGGGCGTGGTTGAGGGCTGTAATGGCCGTCTGGGTTTCATGGAGGTGCATGCCTTTGAAGTCAAGAAGGGACTCTTCCTGCTGCCACACAGACGAGAGCAGGACGATGAGGTGGGTAGCGGTGGAGTGAGGTGAAGGGCCACACTACTCCCTGGATTTCACGGAAGTGCATGTGTTTGAGGTCAAGAAGGGGCTGTTCCTGCTGCCGCCCAGGCAGCAGACGGATGACGAGGTGAGAGGGGTGGGATTGGATGGAAGCCAGTGGAGTGTGGTGTAGTGCAGTGGGATGGGGTTGGAGGGAGGCACTACCCTCTGGATTTCACGGAAGTGCTTGTGTTTGGAGTAAAGAATGGGCTCTTCCTGGTGCCACACAGACAAAAACAGGACAATGAAATGAGAAGAATGGGTGGAGTGCGGTGGGGATGGGGTTAGAGGGCTCTCGTGCCTCCTAGGTTTC